CTTCCTACTGTAAGAAATCAGTGCTTCTTGCGGAAATACTATTCTGCTCCCGTTCAGGCAAAAGTCCCTTTTGCACAAAGCTTTTGCGCGAAAGGGCCAGTGTAGACAGCTCAGATTTGTTTTCCGCAAAAAAGCCCCGATCACGAAAATGGCGATCGGGGCTTTTTTGAAGAAAAGCGCGTCTAGATTGGCACGGACGCTTTTCCGCAAAAAGTGCTTTTGCGGAAACGCGTCTGTGCCAATCTAGACGCTCTGTTCCGAAAATGCTTTTAATGGAAAACTTTTCTGTTAAAAGCGATCGGGGTTTTTTTGAAGAAAAGCGCGTCTAGATTGGCACGGACGCTTTTCCGCAAAAAGTGCTTTTGCGGAAACGCGTCTGTGCCAATCTAGACGCTCTGTTCCGAAAATGCTTTTAATGGAAAACTTTTCTGTTAAAAGCATTTTCGGAAAATCATACCACTCTAGACGCAGCCCAAATGTTTTAGGGGCAAAGTGTGGGTGGAGCCATGCCTGGTAGTTTGGGAAGGCAAAGCCTTCTTCCGCCTAGGCTACCAAATGCCCATGCTCTTCATGGCACCGTTTGCAGTCACCAATGCTGAAGAAGAAGAGGATGGATAGGGCTAGATCCCCTTTTGCCAGGGGCACATAGTGAGGCACCAGGAGGGACACTCTGAAGCCCTGCTGCCCCCTTCATGCTTTGATGCTCCTGCGCTGTTGGGGTGTCAGTTGAGCTTGGCGCAGGTGGCTAGCCTGGGTTACATGCCCATGGAGGATGTCCAACAGCCCTTGATGCTGGAAACCTTTGATGCAGCTCAAAACCTGATTGAGCTGACATCACTGCTAGATTTGGCACTGACAACAGATGTTGGGGAGGCAGTGAATGTTCCGGTACCAACTGCTACTATGAGTCAGTCGGCAGCACTGTCCAGCACTGTACCTGGCTTTGCACCATGCCATCTGTTGCCAGTACAGTTCCTGGCACCAGGGCCATCGACCACCGAGATGCCACCACCTGCTCTTATTTGGCACTGGGGGAAGCCCACTGCCATGGCACAGTACTAGCTGCAGCACCAATCCCCGGCACTGACATCCGGGGCACTGCCCTGGTCAGCTTCTGACTACTCGTCTGATTTGGAGTCGGAGTCAGTGCAGTCAAGGGCCTCGCCCACCTGATCCCAGTCTCGGCACTGATCATGTTCCAGGCACTGCTCCCAGCACCAAGGTCCACCAGTGCAGCAGATGTGTCCCCCACAATGGCAACCACAGGTGCAATGGCCCTTTTGGAACCGTGGGCCAACTATCAGGCCCAGGGCCCCATGCCTTCCACTGGTATGTATTCCATAAACATTCCCTTGACCATGCTACTCCCAAGGGCTCTGGCATCAGAGAACAAACATAGCCCATAAAAGCAGGCAGACCACCTACAGAGAGTGAGGGAGCAGCAGAGCAAAGGGCAGCATCAAATCCACCTCAATGGGAGGGAATATAGCAGTAGTTGTCCAATGAGGTCCTATGCCTGCCATGGATGTGAGGACCTGCCAGGAATTGCTCAGGAGGCTGGCGAACAATCTGGGTGTCCAGGCTGAGAAGCTAATGGAGGACATGGATCCGATGGTCAATATCCTCATTGCAGAGGCCCCGACCAAAGTGGCACTGCCCTTTAACAAGACAGTGGCTAAAATCTCTAAGATTCTGGCAGACCCCAACATTTCTCCTGCCACCCAGAAGGGAGTGGATTGGTGCTACTTTATCCCCAAATCGGGGCATGAGTATCTATATGCACACCCGCCCCCAGGTACTTCAGCTGTCCAGGATAGAAAGACAGGGTCAGCTGGGTCCAATGCTTAAGAGCAAGGAACCCAAGAAATTGGACTTGCTGGGCGGAAAGGTGTATGCCACGGGCGGACTGCAGCTAAGGATTGCCAACCAGATCCTGAACTCCCTGGAATGGTGGCCGCAGGAAGAAGTTTGCAGATCTTTGGGGGGCAAAACAGAAGATTGTGAGAAACCTTCAGTTTTTGCTGTAATTCTTCAAAGCATGTTACTCTTAAAACAGACATGGTTTGGTAATACTTTAAATATGAGGCATGTATTATAATGCATTAATGGTAATATAAACCAAATTTTTTTTAAAAATCTGCAGTTTAGGGTCAATTTGTCCTACACCATAAGAAGAAACTGTTAAGATTAAAGGAAGTTACCTGCATTGGGAGGAGAACATACCCATACATAAATGTATATATAGGTCTATTTAAGGTTTTGACACACACACAGATAACAGAAAAGTAATTCAATATAAATGGTCATGGCACTTAGCTTATCATGCCGTGCCTGGCTTCTTCAGACCACAAGAGCTAGAGGCAAGAAGTAAAGATAAGTATGAATTACTCAATGCCAGGCCACAAATAAAGAAACAAAGTCTAGGAAATGATCTAGTGGTTATACATGTCACAGATTTATTTAATAAGTAACTGAATCAACTGAACCAAATTTAAAACTCAAGAGGAAATCCCATATGGGTATGTTGAACTCCACCATTCCTGAAATCTCTGAGCTGTCTGATGCCATGGGAAGACACCATGGCCATTCCTGGATTAGCCATAGAGGTTCCATTCATGAGGCTGATTAGCCATGTTCCAGTTATGGCTCAATATAGTATTTCTAGCACAAAAGCCTTGACTCTGTGCTATACTTCTTTTAAACCATCCTGGTGTATGAACATATTACTTAATTCAGCTATTTCTCTTGATTAAGCTTTATCAGCAAGGAATGACTAACTTAGAGGACAGACATTTTAGGTTTGGGCAGAAGAAAAATTTGCACCTCACGTGCAAGTCTCTAAGGCTATGTCTACGCAGCAGCATTATTTCGGAATAACTAACGTTATTCTCAAATAACAAAGAGCATATCTACACTGCAAGCCATTATTTTGAAATAGTGGTGAGCTGGAGGACTTCTTACCTGACTCCCGTAACCTTCATTTTATGAGGAATACTTCCTCCTGAGTAGACAGCACCAAAAGTCGAATTAAGCTATTTCAACTTAAGATATGCAATTGATGTAGCTCAAGATGCGTAACTTAATCTGACTTTTGCCCTGCTGTTTAGACATGCCCTAATAGAATACACGTATCTGACCTGCTGTCAGAAAAGGTAATATCGACTGTCATTAACTTACTTTTCTTATTTTTGCTAGTTTCATTCACATCTCTAGCATTACTTAAATGCAGTTATTGGGATGATGTTTCTATGGTAACATAAGTAGGGTTGGGAAAGATTTTTGTATAAAAATTCACAGGTTAAATAGTTGGGAGTGATTTTATAAGTGGTTGCTCTTGGTCTGTGCTTCCATAACAACTTTCAATTTGCTGTATTGCATTTAATTTCCCATCTTATACACCATGAAAATTTTGTTTTATATTTACATATATATCCCATTTTGCTTGGCTTATGTTGGCCTTTTTTTTTTTTTTTTTTTTTTTTTGGATTATCAAATTTTAATATCTTCTGATGTTCTGATGCTTGGACAGGTATTGCATTTGTTAGTCTATGGGGTATGTCTACACTTGCACTCTAGTTCGAACTAGGGATGAAAATGCAGGCATTCGAAATAGTCAATGAAGCGGGGATTTAAATATCCCATGCTTCATTAGCATTATCTCGCCTGCGCGCTAGTTCGAATCACAGCTGATTCGAACCAGGAAGTGCGCGCCAGGACTTATTTCGAACCAAACCCCTTGCTTTGAACTAATGTTAACAGTGTTAGGGGTTTGGTTCAAAATAACGCGTCCTGGCGTGCACTTCCTGGTTCGAATCAGCTGTGATTCGAACTAGCGCGCAGGCGAGATAATGCTAATGAAGCATGGGATATTTAAATCCCCGCTTCATTGACTGTTTCGAATGCCTGCATTTGCATCCCTAGTTCGAACTAGGGTGCAAGTGTAGACATACCCTGAGAAGGGAACAATGCAGAAGTCAAGTAAGGTGGGCCAAATTCATCCCTGTGTAACTCCACTGAAATTACACGCAGGGATGAATTTGTCCCAATCTTTTTGATTTCTGTGTTGTTCTCTAGTATCTTAACAAATGCACTGTATGTCCCAGTAAATTAATGGAGTTACACAGAGATGAGTTTGACTCTTTATTTTTAAAGGAAATTTAAAGTAAAATAGAGCACATTAAATAGTATTAAAAAACCCAAAACAACAAAAAGAAGAAACCAAAACCATAATAAAACAAACCAGAACAAAACAGAAAAGCAATTAAGATCTAAAAGTAAAAAAGGTAGTGTTACAGCTACATTAAAATAAATGAGTGATATGTTACCTGAAATACTGTTCATTTCTGTTCACCCTGTCATGGGAAAAAAAAGATATTTTCAGTGTTATTATATATGTATAGGTTCCGTGATATTAGAAGGGCAAGATGGGTGAGGTAATATCTTTTTTTGGACAAACTTCTGATGGTGAAAGTCAAAAGCTTTTGAGCTAGAGCTCTTCAGGTTTGGCAAAGGAATTCAGTTCCATAGCTAATCCAAGATTGTTTAGTGTAAGTAGTTAACACTTCTTATAAGATACAATTCAAGGTGAAATGGGCTGTTAACGTCTCCTCAGTTATAAGACTAAAAAAATGGAGGGGCTAGTGGGTTACAAAATGTAATAAGCCACATATCCAATGTTTTTATTATGACCGTGATTTTTACCTTGTATTTAGTTGTGACATGTGAAGAAGAGCTCTGTATAGCTCAAAAGCTCATCTAATTCACAACAGAAGTTGGTCCAATAAATGATATTACCTCGCTCACTTTGTTTTGCTTAAGAAAAAAGACAAAAAATATTAGAGGTCTGGAAAAACTTTCATATGAAGGTTAACTTTGATTCAAAATATTGTTGATTGAGTTTGATGCTTTGTTTTATCTGATAATACCTGTAAGTTGGGGTAGCACTTTTATAATTGCTCGTATTGCTCATTAAACTAAATATTTCTTCCTGTTTCCAACAGGATCAAAAGCTACAAATGCACATAATGACAAAGGAGGAGCATCATAAGAAACTGAATGAAGTTGAGAAATGCTATGCTACTATTACATGTCAATTTGGAATGATAAAAGGGGCTCATGAGAAATTAGAGCAGAATGGTAAATCTGTCATAAAATGTGTCTCACAATAGCTATTTTTTTTTTAGTATTTTTCCTCTTTGATGAGTATGTGAAAATACAGAGGTTAATCTTGTCTTCTCCATGGCCCTGCCGTGGTGGAACCGATGAGTTTCTGTGATGGAAAGGAGGAAGTAGAATTTCTGAACCCTGTACCTAAGTCCACGGAAACTGCATGCTTTAATAATCTGTTTTATTTAAAAATTCAGTCAATATATGTATATGTAAATATACATATCGAATGTAAATATTAGTTTTAAAAAAGAAAACTATCCAAGCATTATATGTCAAAAAAGTCTTGCTTAATAATGAATTAACTAATTTTTCAAAACTTTAAACTAACTAGATTTTTATATTTAAATAAGAGGATGTGGGTGGCACTTACTGTGCACATTCTTGGCATTTTAATGGCTGGAATTATTGCTCATTATCATGTCTTTTGAAATACAATTGCGCTTAATATTTAAAGCAAATGAAAACATTTCAGTTCTTTATTTTTAACTTCTTCTATGCTGAAAATATTATTTGTGATTTTATGGAAATATAACAGTAGCTTTCAGGATTTATATTGTTTGGAATATATATAAATATATTTTATCATGCTTCTATATGTATTTCTCAGTATTTGCAAAGTAAACATCTGGAAAAGATTAAATGTAACAGCAATATAAATGCTTCTATTACATAGGAAAAGAACTATTCACTGTAGTAACTACAATATATCTCTTACTGAAGAGAAAATTCATTTTATACTGTGGTATGTAACAGCCATATTAAGCATCTAGATCACTTATAAATTCTGAACATGAATCTACAGACAATGGAAAAGGAAATCGTATATTTTAAAAACCCCTCTAATTTCTAACCTGTTTCCCTGAGATTAAAAATAATGTTTGTGAAAACAATTTGTAGATTTTGAAAATGTTGAAGCTAAAATTGGGTGCTTCCATGTAGTTGTATAGTAGAGATGCTCCTCTTTCTAATAGGATCCAGTGTTTTTAACTATGAAACAAATAATAATAATAAATAATGCCAATCTATCAGGCTTTAAAACCAGGAAGGTGAAATCCTGGTTCCATTGAACTCGATGGGAGGTTTCTCATAGACTTCAGTTGGACAAAATTTCACCTATGATATTTTATGTATTGAAATGTTGTCTTGGGACATTTTAAGAAGTATTATATATTTATTTTGAATTTTTCTCGTATAATGCTGTTACTGTGATAAACCTGATCACATTATAAGCCCAAATTTCAAACATTCTGCCTGTAATTCACCCACTGTATCTAATGCCTGAGAATAACATTTTTAAGAATTTTGGAAAAATAATAAAAAGGAGCAGGAGCTGGATGGCACAAATTGGAGCTACCCAATTGTGGAATAGGATTTTTGGAGAGACAAAAGGAGAGTCCACGAAGGGGAAACAGTAAATGGGCAGAGCATAGAATAAGGGATGAAGAGAAAGTAAAGGAGATCAAGGTGCATGAATCGAGTAGAGGCGAAGAAGAAATATAAAGACTGGAGGAAATGTACAATTTTCTAGATGTAGTATTTTAAACACTTGTAGGGCATGTCAATACTAAAATATAAGGTCGACTCCAATACTGTAGATTTCCTACCACGCAAATGTGTGAAGTTGAAGGTCCATGTCCTCACTGTGCAGAAGAATTGAATAGAGTCCGAAGAAGTGCATCCCCATTAGGGAGCCTTCTGTTGATTCAGACAGTGAGGCACCTTGGGCGGCTTTGTATTACAGGCTATGCTTATGGTGTCAGCTGGGTCCAAAACTCTTCTGCGGGTGGTCCGGGACTCATGTCACTAGAGTTCCAGAATGCATTTGTCTGCTCCTTCCCTCTTGCCTGACATCAGTGGGAGGCAGCCTGCTTACACCTTTTTGTGCCCTAGTTACCCATGCAGATGCCATTGTAGCATGAGCATGGAGTTAGGTGTTGTCAAGGCTCCTTCCCCACTCTGGCACAATAAATGTAGAAGTGAAGGTCTGCAAAAGTACCGCAAAACCTTATCTTTCTAGGCTTTGGTATAAAACTTCCCCCCAAAATCTTTAAAAAACCTAAATTTTGGGGATAGAAATCCGCAGCCACCACCCAAATAATGATAAGGAAACCAGGGGAGAGATTGCTTGGGAAATCTCACTCCTAAAGTAAAACCAGGACACAAAAATTAACCAATACCAGGTTAATAAAAAGGAAAGAGAAAGAACTTTTATTATCACCACAATACTCCTGTTACAAGCATAATTACTAGATGGACAAGTCACCAATTAATAAACTCATGGGGAATTCCACCATGGGGCAAAACTTAGTTACCAAGGAGAGAAAACCCCAATTTTTAAATGCACAGACATCAGATTCCCATTCCCAAACCATAAAACCTAACGGATTTATCTAAACTTTACCCTACTTACAGATAGTGAAGAGTCTTTTCTTGGAGCGAGACATTTTGTCTGTCCCTCCTCAGTAGCTGGAGAGAAACTGCCCAGGGACAAAGGAGGGAAAAACCAAAAATTCCTTTGTCCCAGTTTGAAATTCCTACCTACATTTCTATTGGCTGCTTGCTACCTGGCTTTGTCCTCAGGCTGCTGGCTAACCCTCATGGTCATGAGAGATGTGCAGGAAAGTATTGTCATGCTCGTGTGTTACAGTGCACCTTGCTGTACTGTGCTTTGAGAGCCTACACATGTTGCTCCATCAGGATGGGGAAGAGGATGAAGTTCAGTGTGGCATAGAGGCACTGTTCAGGCAAGGCCTGGCACTCATACAAGCACACCCATGAGTCAATCCTCTGGACACAGTGAGATGAGTTCAGAGTGGTGGGATCACATTTGTGATGCAGACATGGGATGATCAGCAGTGACTGCAGAACTTCCACATGTGAAAGGCTGCATTTCTGGAATTGTATCAGAAGACCCGAATGAGACCCATTCTGACTATGGAGAAGTGCATGTCAATTGTCGTATGGAAGCTTGCCATGCCAGACAGCTACTGCTCAGACAGGAAACAGTTTGAGATGGGGAAATCTGCAGTTGGGGCTGTTGTCAAACAAGTAGTCAACACCATCAATAACATTCTGCTATGGATGGCTGTGACTGGGAAACGTGGATACCATAGTGGATGAATTTGTTGCGATGGGCTTCCCGAAATGCGGTGGCACCACAAATTGAACAAACATCCCCATCTTGGCCTACAAACACCTTGCTATGGAGTATATCAACCACAAGGGGTACTTCTTCATGGTGCTGCAGGCGCTCGTGAACCACAAGGGCAGTTTCACTGACATTTGTGTGGGATGGTCAGGAAAGGTGCATGACATCTTCATCTTTTGGAACTTCTGCCTCTTCTGAAAGCTGCAAGATGTTCCACCCCAAGTGGAACATTAGAGTCAGAGAAATGCATATGCCAATAGTGATCCTGGGCAACGCTCCCTACTCCTTGCTTCTTTGATTCATGAAGCCTTACAAAGGCAGCCTGGACCCCAGAAGAGAGTAGTTCAATATCAGGCTGACCAGGTATGGAATGGTGGTGGAATGTGCCTTTGGATGTTTAAGGGGGAGGTTCAGGAGTCTCTTGACTCAGTTGAACTTCAGTGAACGCAGCATTTCCTTGGTGGTGTCAGTATGTTGTGTGCTCCATAATCTGTGCAAGAGCAAGGGGGAAACTTATCTGGCAGGGTAGGGGGCTGAGACAGAGCACCAAGTCAGAGAGTTTGAGCAGCCAGACACCAGCATCATAAGGAGTACAGCAAGTTGCAATACAAATCAGAGAGGCCTTGAAGGACAGTTTTATGCAAGGCCTCTTCTGAGATTGCCACATGACTCCCCACAAGTTGCTCCTGCATTCACTGTGTTTCCATTTAATCCCCCACCCCACACCTGCAATTCAAGCAATAAAGAGACTGTTTAATGAACACGAACGTTTATTAGGGAAAAACAATAGGGAAGTGAAAGAACTAGGAACCGGAATGGAGGAAGGGGCTCAGGAATGGGAGTGGGACTGCCTTCTGCCTCCCAAGGGCCTGGAGGCAATGGCTCTTCTTGAGTTCTCCCCACACCCCATGTCCTGGGGATCTGACAGCCCTGGAGAATTTTGGGGGTGGAAGCCATGGGACTGGTGGAGGAGTGGCCAGGGGTGTCATTGGGGGTAGTCAGGGTTCTGGACTGTGGCCTTTTCAAGGCAGGATGCTACACGCTCCATAACTAGTCAGGAAAGTGAACATTGTCTCATCCTGCTGTGTCCACTACTCCCTGGCAGCCCTCCTCTACTGCCGCTCTGCAATCCCATCCTGCTGCTTTGCCTGATCTCCGCCATGAGGGTGTGCATGCAGTCCATTTGTTCCCTGGACATCTCCTCCCTCATGCATTTGCACCTGTGGGTGTGAGCCAGACAAGCAGAAGAGGGGAGAATGCACCAAGCTGGCTGCTGTGCCAGTTGCAAAGAAAAGTTACAAGGGCAGACTTTACAGCAGATACATTTTGTAAAGCTTACCCCTAATCTGCTAGTGTACACCAGAGGTCTCTGTAAAGACTAAGGAGATTCGATCCATGTAAGGCCAAATGCTTGCTTTAAAGTGATCACTTTACAGCAGGTGCCCAAACTTCTTGGGGGAGCATTGGGACACACTTGGTCCAGAGGCAGGTAGTCAGGGTTAGGGACCAGATAGGGCCAGAACCTGCAGGCAGAAGTGGGGTGGCAGGAGAAAGTGGCTTCCCAGGACAGTGCTAGTTTCCCATCCAGGGCATGAGCCTGCAGGCAGAGGAGAGCAGGGCAAGGGTGGGTCAGCTTTCTGCTGTGTTCAGCACATGCCGGGGCTGGCACATTCAGCCCTCCAGAGACACAGCAGCAAGCCAACCCACCCAGCATCTGTGGGTTCCTTTCCTTCCTGCAGGGAGGCGGAGGTTGTGTGTCTGGCATGCACAGCTTCATGGGGAGAAGACTAATAAGTTCCCCTCCTCCTTCATGCAGATTGCCACGCAAGATATCAGGCTTCCCTGAATCACACCAAATGATCAGGAGCATATGCTGACTAAATGTGATCATAAACTTGGGCCTTATACTGCACTACTTTATGGTTCCATGATGCCAGACCCCTTAGTGGTGGGTTGGCATGGGAAGGTGTGCTACAGTGGAGGATGGCATAAGGCTGGCCTCCCCAAAAACCTTGTGAGAAGGAACAAAGAACTTAATGGAGATATGTAGGGAGGATTCCCACTTCATCTCCAGACACATTAACATGCTGTTCCATGCCCCCTGTGCTGTATAGGCACAGAGAATGCTGCACCTCACATCCCATTGCCTTAACCCATTTATAATTAGACAGAGTTTGTGAACTCTCCAGAAGTGTTCTCCCCAGGGTGGGTGCTGGATTGGGAGACATCCTGGGAGGTGGGGG